CTAGTCATTGCCACAACGCATGACACGAAAGGGATCGATGCGAGAAGTGTCGTTTCTCTGAGGAAATCTTTTATGTACTTGAATTTAGGGTTGAAGGATGGAGTCTCGATTTCGGAGTCGGAGTAGGTGGAGTCTTCTGAGTTGTAATTTACCTCCTACTTTTTCTGTAGCAGGTCTCGCGGTTGGAATGAGTTGGGCCTGTTAGCAGTGATCCTCGCCGGCTCCACCAGTCTTGTACCTATAGTGGACCTAGAGCTTTAGCTTAGGACTTTAATATAATAAAAAAAAAATCGAAATTTCCCTTTTTCCAACCCTCTCGAACTCGTAGCATACAGCCTTGAATTGTGATCGGGCTCAGGAATTTTCACCATGCCTTCAGTTCGTAAAAAACGACCAAACCTCTTGTTGTACCACAAGAGAGTCCGCTCGAGGATCTCGAAAAATTACCTGGCCTTGCCCAGTCTCTGAAATGCGCGGCGATGGGTCAGGCCGTTTCAAAAGTGAAGGAAAAAGCCATTCCCATCATCAATGAGCCCGATACTAGCATGATCGGTTCAGTTGGAATTGTTGAGTAAATTCCTTAACCATCCTCCTTCCCCCACGGGATTGGGGAATCATCTAAACCTCCTCCGACCACGTCAAAACTATCCGAGAACGCTGCACTCAAAACAACGTCAAAATAAACGTCGCAGCCAAAGGCTGCCACAAAAGCAGAGTGTCCCCTAGAGCTTCGACCAATTGTCGAAGCTGAACAACGACGCGCCGTCGAAACAGCGGCAAATCTGGCCCTCTGTTCCGCCGCCATCTCTAGCGTCGAAGCTACCCTCCTCCGTTTGACCAACGGGTCAAATAGACAATTCGTAGACTTGATGAGAGTCTACCTGCGCTCCGCCATTGAACAATACATGGCATCGGACCCAGCCTACACTCCACCCATCCTCCCTCCTCGCCCGGCGAAGCCCCTCCCAAGGGCTCCCGACGTCAGGAGCACACCAATTCCCGCCGTCCCAGTGCTGCCAGCAAAAAGCATCTGGGCCACGGTGGCCAGAAATGGACTGCGACAAAAAGCAGTCTCTAATTTAAAGGCTGTGCTGAGACCTGCGGCCAAAGCCCAACAAAAAGAAAACCCCAAGGCGAAAGTCAACAAGCGACTGTTCCTTCGCCTTAAAAAGGACCACCCGTGGCGCAAACTGTCCACCTGTGTCGCGAGAGACCGAATTGAGAGTAGCATGCATTACATGCCCGATAATATCAGCTCATTTCATCGAGTAAAACTGGCTTTGCTATGTTGGCAAGGGACGAAAATATACAAGAGATGCTGGGTGACTCTTCGAAGCTGGTGAGTGAAACCGCCAAACTCAAAGCATCCTCGGATCTTGTCGCCTTACAAATACCAAACTTATCTGTAAGTATAGTTACAGAGCATAGCCCTAGAGCGATCGACGCTGAGTGGGTCTCCCTCTCGATCGCCCTTACGAGCGGCGTAAGACCATTTCATTTCCGACCTCATGGGACGTATCGGCCTTGGGCACCTTATCGAAACTGGCATGCCATTTTTCACCAGGATTCCGCCCCTCGTGTGGGCTTCTGCCTCTTCGACGAGTCTGGTATTGCTACCATCCATAAGCCTCGTCGAACAATCGAACAGTGCAAACGCTGTTTGGGCTTCCACGCCACTCGTAGTTGCTCCCGTGCTCCAGCCTGCTGGAACTGCGGATCAAACATGCACTCGGAAGCCGAGTGCAAGGCCCTCACCAAGTGTCGTAACTGTGGGGGACCGGTGACCAAAGAGCAGCTCGCACGGTTCCGCCAAATCAAGCAAAGGAGGTTTGCGGAGGTGGCACGAGCTCTGGCTGCAGCCAAAAGGTTCGAAGAGGCCATTTTCGCCGCGGCGAAGGATATCTCGATGGCCAAGGCAACAGGTTTCGGAGTGCTGGAATCTCAAGAAGTTTGAGGGCACAGCAAACTTAACGATGCTTCTAACAGGCGTCTACTAACCAACAGTAGGATATCGGCTGGATCAAAAGTACCTGCTAACCTATCTTTTGCTCTCAGCAGAGATGGAGTAATTTTATCATTTGGAAGGTGTGACGGATGACGGAATGTGTGAGAGGCGCATTTTTTGAGTCTAAAATGGAGAAATCTTCCTGCTTTCGGAGTTTGTTTTGATTTTTGGGGGTTTTCGTTTCAGTTTTAACCAGCCGCACCTTAAGGAACGATTCATGAGGTTGGAACGAATTAGGCTGTAGGAAAGATTACAGGGATCCTTTCCGGCTCCACCGGTCCTGCACCTTGGTGAACATGGAGCTTTAGTTTAGGACCTATTGATTTAAAAAAAAAAGCCTTCAGTAGGCGTACTCAGCCCTGCCGCTTCGCAGAGCTCCCTAATACAAACTACTACTCCGGTCGTAATATACGCATATTTACGAAGAGCACGGCCTAATTCTTATTCTTTTGATCTGATCATAGACGTTTTTGCATGCGCGCACGAGATTCCTCTTGGTTTCCTATCGCGTCGTGGTATCTCTAGCTTCTACTGGTCTCGCGTGACTACTGTTCTCGTGATAATCGCGTGCGATCATCTCGAGCGACCTCTACTACAAACGTCTCCCAATTACGACATTGAAGTTATCAGTTGGATCAATACATACTCACCTCAGCAAATCGCGTAATATTCATGAGTGGTTGGACAGTGTATAAGTAAGCATGAATCTGTTATGATGTGATTATTATTGTGATATCATAATATCTGTTGAATTAGTAGATGATGTAATAAGAATTCCTCATGGTGTTGCTCTTAGTTCGCTGTGTAACAATGAAGTTGGAAGTGCCAACTTTTAACTGGGAAGTGGTATGCGCTAGACGGAGATAAAACGAATCTCAACAATTCTAGTTGGGAATGCGCATAGTTAGGTGAAAGGATATGATAGAAACTAGGTCTAAATGTTATGTGTATATAGACCTGCTCATACAGGAGAAAACAGAAAATCATCCGAATTTTACAATAATTATCGAAGTCACAATAATGCCTCTGTCAGTTGTCAGGAATCCGGTATATCTTTGCCAGTGCTGCACAGCCCTATATAGCTAGTATTATGGTCGACAACTAGCGCGTAGCTCCACACAATGGCAAAGAGTAGTCAGTGACAGTATGGCATGGAACTGTGATTGTAGAACATCCTGGATAGATGGCGATTTACTGAATAATGGGTACCAAATATGTATAAATAAGTCCAATCTACCACGATGACATGTAGATGGTGTCGGATAAGCCGTGTCTTGGTATCTGATCAAATAATAATGCACCTTGAGATAAAGATGTTCCTGTTTTTTCTACTCTATCAACAAGATTGATAACACTATGATAAAATTATACGAGATTTACTTTTCAGCCTGGTACCCTTAAATCATGACAAGACCTCATTGCAAAGCCACCTGTATTCGATATACCAAATCTACTAAGTGGTTGAGAGGTAACATATGTAACGAGAAACAACAGATATATTACAACCAGGTATTTCATCGTGTCATGAAGCTCTGAAAATCGATATGCCCTTTTCCCTGCTATAAATAACTTGTTCAACATTCGAAGTTGACTCATGCCCTTATCATAAAAAAATCTGACTCGTATAAAAATTTCAACTTTTTGCATTAAATGCCAACGACATCCTTCATCGCCAGGCACCGCTAATTGCCATGGCAACGTGCAAACTTACCCGGCCATAATGTGGGTGCTAGATGTATAGCCTGCTTTGTTAGTATAGAGCTCTCATTAGCTTTAACGACGTTTGCGACTGAACTAAGGAGTAAAGAAGCAATTTTTTACTTTGATATGCGATACCCTAAATTTTATTGAGAATAAAGCTTTGCCTGGTCTCAAGCTCTACTTCACATGTTTAGTTGTTTAAAGGAGCGTGACTCACGCTATCTCACGTTTTAGTCCACTATTAACCTCCGTGTGAATATTGGCAAGTCTACCGTTTGGCATAGTGAGACTTGCCGTGCCTGTGACACTTCTGTGTTTCTGAAAAGAAGCGCACAAATCCCCGCGAGAGTTTTCGGGGCGGACAAAGGCGATCGGCCCGATCTCGCTTGACAAACTAACGCAACCAGGTCGAGTGACTGCGCCATAGCGTCGGCTAAGGAGGAAGGCTGAGCACCTGTGAGTGGTGTCCTCTACAAACCTAGAAGTGAAATATTCCCCAAGTACCAAAATTCAGTCATCCCCCAACGGTCGAACCGATTTTTTTGAACCGAGATTCTTGCTAAGAGGAGCCCTGCTGGTCTGATTTTGGTTGGAGTTCCCAGATTGTAGAGATTTCTCGACTACATGAACCACAGTGAGAATAATCAAGACTATTCACGCCGAAATCATCTTGAGCCGATTATCGCACTGCCCTTCGGAACACCAATTTTTTTTGAAGTTCTTACTTAATATTGAAAAAAGCCACAGTAACTTGCGACCCTTTCTTCCGACATGGTTGTCGATAGGGAACAATGGAAGTAGGCCAAACATGGGTTACTAAATATGGATATTTCTGACGAAATCAATGCCTGTGAGTGAATATTGGAGAGATGTTGGGCCGTTAAAGCTTTGGATGTGGTTGAATGAAGGACTCAAGATTGTAAGGGTATCATCTAGAATGTCGGCAGAGGAAGTCAATATTTAAAGATCCTTATAAATTTATGAGGTGCTGAGCAGTGGCTGGGCCTCGCGGTTAATCTGCTGGGCTATTTTGGGGCGCTATCACGAGGGGTAGTCTTTATAGACTGAAATAACCGACACTTATCTCTGTAGTCTAGTGTTGTGCGTCTCCACGAGGTTAAATAACCAGGAAAAATGGCGACACCTGAAATATTGAGGTACATGGCGCAATATCCAACACATATCTCGCACTACCCCAATAAACTCTGCCAGCCATATATTGCAGCTAGGTGAAGCTAGCTACCTACTTGACATAATTTAATAGCCTCAATGGTGAGCGGCAAAGCCGTCACCTCTAGTTCCATATCTCCTCGTCATCGTTCATGTTATCTGTTTCGCTCTGACCAAAAGTTCTAATCATAGTAGGTGCTGGACCGTAGCCGCCGAGCCACCAGTCATGACCGCTATACGCCTGCTGTGGCCGCCGCCATCTCTGATGTCGGCCAGGATCATACCAATCGAGAATATCTTCAGCCGATCGGCTCACAATACCTCCAGTCCATTGATCAAGTTTAGTAGGGAGAGCCCAGGGAAAGAAGGGATCCGACGGCTGCCAAGTATTCTGGTTAGAATATCTGGGGTGACAAAAGGCTTCACACATGGCTGTCTCCACGATATACCAAAGCCACAAGGTACAAAATACTAGCCCTATCCACGTAAATCGCCATCCTCGATCGCGGAATATTCCAGAGTTTTCTTCTGTTTCCATTCGGTGTTTTATTATGAAGAGTCTTGTAATCTTTGTAGCAATGCTACTACCTTTGATTAGATCGGGCTTATCTATGTGGGCCCAAGGCTTGGGGGAGGTAGATACCTGTCGCTCTAAGCGCTCTATACCTTGCCTAGCATCATGTATGCTATATGAGGCATTTTTTAGCCTCTGATTCATTCTCTCAATTATTATAGATTCAAATTTTTCTTCACTCGCAGGAAAAATTGGGAGCACTCTGTTCCGATTAAATTCCAGGCTATCCATAGCCACCTGAGAATCTGAATTTATCAGTCTATCTGTTTGCCTATCACCCTCAAACATGAAGTCTAATCCCGAGTCTTCGATATTTTCTTCCATCTTGATTCGACGAAGGTCATCTGATACAGTTATACGTCGGGAAGTGTTTATGAGTCGTGGTCTAGCTAAAGTGCTTCTATCAGTTGGCATCAAGCATGAAGTTTGTGTAGTGTATCGTGTTTGTAATTGCATTATTTGTGAGGAGTTTTGGCCTTCAAATTTGAAATTCTGACCTTCCAATGATATCGCACGTCTTCGAGTGATTCTAGTTTGAAGAAGGCCATCTGGCTCGGCACTAAGGAGAGGGGTCTGTATGTAGGCGCCTAGAACTTTGGGTGTTGGAAGAGCCAATACATCAGCTTTAGGTCGAGGTGTCTCTTCATACTCGGCAAAATTTTTGTCAAGTCTACTTGGATATGGCTGTATAGAGCTTTGGTCTGATCTATTATCGGTGCCAAACTGTTTTCTTGATTCTATTTCGTCAACGGCACATTCGTCAGGGATTTTATCTAACTTTGATAAGCTGGAAGATCTACATAATGCTTTATATTCAGGATTTATTTCCGAATTCTCAGTTGGAAGGAATTTAAACTGAGAATTCTTACTGATAGGGTAGTCTTCTGGACTCGAGTCAGTAGAAGTACTTGTAATAGCTTGTTCTGAAATTTTCAATTCAAAGTTATCTTCACGATTTGGTTTGATTTCAGATATAATATGGCAGTCCTGATTGGGCTTAATCAACACCGAACTTCCGACTGAGCTAACTTTCGGATTCTCAGACTGATCCTTTGAAAAAGCCTCAACATCCACTGGGCTTACATCTTTTGATCTTGCCTTTTCAGATAGCCGCACTCCATTCCTTTCCGTATTGCGGTCATTATCACCGACTGAAAATTCCGCAAGTGCCATTTTCTCAGCTAATCTAGAATCCGGATTTGAAGTTTGCTGATGCTTCCCTCGCCAAGATGTGAGGGTAGAAGATGCTTCGTGTTTTACACCATCTGATTCAAAGTTATTATCTCCCATAACTGGATGTAAATTCCCACAACTTAAACTAGTCTGCTCAGGACTAGACCGGGATGAGCCTTTAATTGATTTTGGAGACAATTTTGAATCGGGAAATTCTTCTGAACTTGAGGGATTTTTAGAAATCGATATGAAACTGGGAATTCTAGACTTTTGAGCATTACTCCTTTTAGTTTTGCTAAATTTGAGAGTGGGACTGCTGATCAAATGGCTACCTGCCGTGAAGTCGTCGTCAGCATCCCATGGCGAGTTTACTTTCCATTCTTCTTTCGAAATTGGACCATTCAGGTTAGGAAATGTGGTTTGGGGTATTTTGTATACAGGTTTGAGAGAAGTCATTTTCGATCGTAAAGGTGCGTCCTTCCTACACGACTGGATATACTCTGCACTTATAGATGCGACTTCATTTTTGATGTCATTTGAGCATTCTGGAGAAAGAATATTTCGAATTTTTGCACCTGGATTTGCTACCCTGGAAGTCCAGGCCCGGGGTATGTTAGGAGGAGGCTCTGGTTCATCATCTAATAACACCTGATGCCTTCGCTTGCTTTTTCTTTGCCCAAGGTTCTGACTATGATCTAGACAATAAATTAGTCTGGTTTTGACAACAAATTGATTTTATTACCTCTTGCAAATATGGGTCTCTGGTTAGCTAACATACGCTCTTTCCTTAACTGGTCACGTTTAGACCTTACAAGATTGTTTTTAATCACGTCTCCACGAGCTTCATTAGATGGAAATGACTGCAGAGATCCTTTGTCTTCTCTTGGCGCGTAATGGCGAAGCCTAGCAACAGGTGTTGGGCTTCTTTCTGCTTGACCTATTGAACTCTCGCTCTCGAAGTACGCTGCTAACATAATTAGCAGACCTAATAGATACAACAAAATTACGTACCTAGCTCTCTAGTTGCACGTGTCTTTTCTTGCATCGGAAGATCTAAATCAAGCTCATAGCGTGCGCCCAAAAATACGTGGCCATCTGTAGAGGGCCAATCTATTGTCTTTGGACTCTTCTGATGCGGATCAAGCTTTGAGGAATGCCGGAGGATCCCTTCGTCATTCATCTGATTGTATGCTTCCTCCAACCCAATTTGGCGTCGGCGCATCCAATTACTCTGTGAAACATCCCCGCGCATAGGGTTTTTCTTGGATCCTGAACTTGAGCTCGATTGGCCATCGCTATCGTTAGGCATTTTGGTGTAGCTTTTTTGCGCCTTGATGTTAGCAAACTTCTATTTTATTCGTTAACTTGTTGTAAGAGAATTGTGATCATTACGTGCAGCTTCAAGTTCCTATCAAAGCGCGTTTGGCTGGGTCGATCGATGACGCGTTCTGCCCCACTCGTTTTCGGCCTGCAGAATAATTGGAGTATCAGCCATGAGATGATTCGAATTGCTTCGCCAACTCAGTGTCTGTATTTTTCATCCGACCAAAGCCAGATCAAATGGAGATTTAAAATTCCTGTAAGTGATGTACAAAAACAAAACAAAATTTGATTGGGTGTTGTTGTACTCGTTGAATCATGATCGAGTAGAAATTGACATTAATCTGAGGGAGGACGTTGCAGGCTTGCTGCACTTGTGCTCATCTCAAAACCGTGAAGGCATGTATAATGATGGTTAACCAGAGCAGATGATCTCAAAATAACTGCCTAATAATTACGCCACTAGCACCAGCAATAAAAAAATGCTTTGGTCATTATCATCGTTCCTTCTCAATCGTCGGGAATCCCGATGATATTTTCAGCGTGTAATCTGGCCTTCTCCTTATCAAACCTCCATATTCCTCCCGTTTTATCAGGCTCCGGACTCATGCATATCACTCCTCCAAGCTGTTCTAATACAGCATCATTTTCAACTTTACTAAAGTACCTACTCTGCCACATTTCTCCTTTTTCCTTTTCTTGAACTCTAAGTGCTCTTTGTGACTCCTCAATTTTGGTCTTTTCTTGGGAAACTATAGCCATATTTCCTGCCTCAATACCCTCTGCAACCTGCCTCCACGCCCGTCTGGACTCCAGCGGCGACTGTTTCTCGAAAGGAGCAACAGTGAGAGGAGTCGTAATCCAAGTCTCGGCGTCAAATTTATCAATAATAGCTCCATTCTTACCTTCTCTTACTTCAAACGACTTAGTCCATTGCCCAGAAACCGTGTATAGGACTTCTTTCTCATTCTTCGCCTGATAGATTGCGGCCGTAAAGCTATTCTTTTTTCCAGTAAGCCATCCTTTTCCAGTATAATCAATCTTAGCTGTGTATCCAGAGCTGCTAGTTATAAATGATTTGTCGTTTAGTTCAACAAATGGTCGACCAAAGACAAGACCCTCTATGTGTAGATTAGGAAGTGTGATAAGATAAGTTTCGTTGTGGGCAGGGATAGAGAGAATAGCATGACCAATCTGCTTAACAATAATGGTGTGAAAAAAAGAGGTTTTCTGAGCATTATAGCCCTCGAGGAATACGCCATGTTCCTCGTTCGTGATTCGGTACGCAGTGACCGGAGGATGATGGCTAGAATCTCTCAGAAAGTTTCTCCAAGACATCGATCACGGGCAGCTTACCAAACCTGCTCTGAAATCAAGGTCGTCGTCCCGCTATCATCTTTCCATTCTCCGAGGAAAAGCTCTCCCAGAAAAGGATTTAGTGGTTTTTTTTCACTACCGAATTTCTCGCTACGGCTAGCATACTGTTGTTTTAAAGTACTCAGAAACCACTTTAACACTAGTATAAACCTTTTTTGTGGATCCTTTTCTGACGCAGGCGCAACAAAAATCGATGGATGTTGAGCCCAGTAGGAAGAGAATTCAGTCAAGGATGTAGACGAAAGAATAAATGGAGGCGCCGTTAAGGAGGATAAATCTCCATTAAATGAAGCGATAGCTTTTAAAAACGCCGTCCAGGAACCTTTGTATTGCGCAGATACGCCACCGCCAATTTCGGACATTTCGTGTGAACGATACAAGTCCAGATAAACTAGGTGAGTGCGATAATGAGGAATGGTAGAAAGGCGAGAGACTCGGCTCGTAACTTAACCAGTCGGATGCCCGGTGGGAAAAAAAGTAACATGGTCGTCGAAAAAACCTAAAGGGTTTATTCACCGGTCTTCAAAACTGATTATTAGTCATTGGCGTATAGCTTCGGTTCGCTGAGGTTTGCACTCCGACGTAATGTTTAGCCGCACAAGCATAGGTAAGAGTCTCATTAGGGAAGTCACGGTTTGGATAGGCAAATTATTCACGATAATAAATTTAGATCATTTAAATCTAGACGTGCTTAAATCATCGAAAGATTACATCAGAGCCATATCTCTAATTCCCACATACCATCGGCCCAGAATATGCGCCGCGATTAAAGAAGAAATTATACATTCCTTGGATTAATCGTAAGCACCAGACTTTTAGTGAAAGTTACTGGATGATGATTCTCTGCACATTTCGAAACAACCCTCGCACCTCATTTCACCATGCCTGCACCAATACCACCCAACCCCAAAATGAATAGAAATTTATCAAAGCTGTCCGGCAGTGTTGAAATCTCTTAAGCCCTCGGCTACTCGAATCGACATTGTTTTTTCACCCTCTCGCACCCAAACACCTATACTGGTCAACGTAAAGCAATGGTCCAGGGGCTGTGGTACTTACGAGGATCAAAGTATTTCTTGTTAGGCTTATCTTCTCCATCGGGGTTTCCTACCTGGCACATGAGGTAGTCCTTTTTATTGAGGACATAATCCCGAATGCCCGTGAGATATGCGTATTGCAGATCTGTGTCAAGATTGACCTTCACCACACCATGCGAAATTGCTATCTGAAATTCTTCCTTGGTAGATCCTGATCCTCCGTGGAATACTAGAAAGCATGGCTTCTCCTCGGAAGATTTGATACATTCTTTGACAAACTTTTGATGCTTGCCCAAAAGTTCCGGGTGTAATTTAACATTACCTGGTTTATAAACGCCATGCACGTTGCCGAAACCAGCTGCTATAGAGAAATATGGGGAGATAGGTGCCAACTTGTTGTAAATAGCTAGGATATCTTCTGGTTGAGTATAGAGCGAGTTGTTGTCAACGTCTTCGTTGTTAACACCATCTTCTTCGCCTCCAGTGATACCAATTTCCTGTTCACATTAGAATTTTTCAGTTGTATCTCGCCTGTTTCCATACCATTTCAATCCATTGTTTCATGGGCGCTACTCTTTCCAAGTATTTGGCAGTTACTTCGATATTGTAATCGACCGATTCTTCAGATAGGTCAATCATATGGCTAGAGAATAAGGGTTCGCCATGAATCTTGAAGTATGCCTCATCAGCATCTAGCAAACCATCCAACCAGGGGAGAAGTTTCTTTGCACAATGGTCCGTGTGTAGAACAACGGGGATGCCATAGGTGGGTGCAATAGCCCGAATGTAATGAGCCCCAGCAATTCCACCAGCGATAGACGCCTCTTGTCCACCATTTGCAACACCCTGACGTCGGTTGTTAATAACCTGTCTTGTTGGAGGATTAATTCATTACCTTTCCGGCAAAGTAAGCAGCGCCACCTTGCGACATCTGGAGGACGATAGGAGCTTTAGCATCACGGGCAGCCTCTAGTGATGCTACTACAGTGGATGATGATGTAACATTCTACCATAATTCTGTCAGTTTTGAGTAGAAATTTACGTCTAGATTAAAGAAAACTCACAATAGCTGGGATCGCAAACTTATGGTCCTTTGCATATTGGAAAAGCTTCAAGACATCATCGCCGACAATAACACCAGATTTTCGAGAAAGAACGTCTATGGCGCCCATATTTCCGATTGAATGATTAGATGAGTATTTTGGTTGAAGATGTTGAGGTAATGTGTTAATCAGAGTTAGATTTGCAAGTAAAGGACGCAATAGAGGGGGCGAAGGAGTTTATAGCTCGTTCGAGATTCAAGCGGGGGGGTGAAGGCAAGCGGAACAATGTTTTAAGGACCGATAAGTCACTATGAGCGGGGGTTCTTGGAACGTGTTAGAACCAAACGCCAAGTGAAACAGCGTCCGTGGGACGAAAGATTGTACCTGCAAACATTTCTTCATTCTGTCTTCGTGGAATGTAGGGTAGTGTTCATCAAAGAGTAATTAGATACTTTCTTGGATTTAAATAGGATATAGTCCGTGAGCTGCGCAGAGCAGCAATAGGCGTTTACAATAATTAGCTACTCATACTTTTTAGCTCAGTGCGAATAGCCCGACAGGTTGTAGCATGCCATTGCAAGCAGAAAATTTATGATCAAACGTAGACCCTATCGGATGCTTAGGACGAGCTATATCTCACAACAAAGAATATTCGCCAAAGATACTTGAATTGCCACGAGCTTTGAGTTTTTAACAGGAAGCACTATGACTAGAAAAAAAAAAATAAAGTTTGCGACTATGTACTATTTTTTTCATCAGGCCCTGCGAAACTTTGTTATCTGCTTAGGATAGACCTATCATGACAGCGATTTGCGTCAAGTTTGATGGATTTGACAGCTAGTGAGCGAGATCCCCTAGGGTTGCCATAGCATTGGCCTGCTACTCAGTGACGAGTTCGGGTAGAAGAAGATACATTACCTTAGAAAAGTAACCGTTTTGTGCTTCTGGATATCTAATTGAGCTTGCATCCACGCTTTGACACACAATCTTTCTCTCTCGATAGTCCCATCTTTTGGCAGCAACCCTTAAAATTAAATGTGCTCACCAGTGCATTGAAGCTCCAAACCAAATGTACTCACTCGTGATACAAACTCGGATCCACATCGTACTGTCGAGCAACGATAAATGATTGACCAAGACATTTACAAATTTACTTTAATGTTTAAATTAGTCTCTATTTCCGAAGTGATTAGAGGCTTGGAAGCACAAAGGAGTTTTCGTCTGGCCACTAAAATGATATATCTTAGTGAATACGAACCAGTGGATCTTTGCGGATAAGTATCGTTATCATCAATATGTTAAAATCAAGGCAACTCTTAAGCACCTTCTATCACTTCACCTTGTTCTGACCTCGATATGTAGGGCATTTAGCAAGAAGCTAGACTGAAATCAGCCCATCTTGGCTCCATGGTATATTTGCCTTTATTGTTCGAATTTTTCAATGATAGACGGTCTGTCCCAGTCTACCAGACTGTGTCTGAGTAGTTTAGACATATATCTCTATTGATATCGGAGGTTGTTGGTCGGAATCTGGAAAAGCACGCCACTGCTCGCAGAGCACGTGTTTGGAAGGACGAATGCTGGCTACAATAACTAATGTTTTGAAACCTCTCTTTGTTGATGTTCACCATAAGGGGTTAGCTGTGTCGTGCTAGCAGACATGCTCCATAGCGTTATTTGCGAATGAAACAGAGAGAATCAGTCTCTTGAATGGCCAAGCCTCCGTTTAACCTGCGTAGAAGATACTGACCACGTTTCATAGCTGATTGAAGAGTAGATTTTTACTTGTGCACTTTAACCTCTATACAGCTACTGGTTCGAATACATGAAAATCCTTCTACCAGGAATAGAAATTTCGTTTCATGTGCTTGTAAGTTAGTCTAGCTTGATGAAAAACAGACGATCTTAATCCTAGGGATTGAGGAATCTCGTACATAGGCTCTGGAAGGTCATTGCAATTGTCGATAAGATGGGTGATAACTTTGATGGTGGACTATAGTGAAGATGGTTAGCGCTAGCTCGTTTTTTGGTTATTTTACATGTACTGTCAGCTAGTACTATGGGTAAAATGCAGACTGCCACAGGCTTTCGTTGAACTGGTAGATAGTAGTCTCATGGCTGTGATTTCGGGACCGATTAGGGGTTGGATTAAGCCCCGCCGCAAATTGTAGTATGACAATAGCCCATGCAGTAGACTAGCGAGTCAGCGCACAGAGTTTGGGCGGATTCCCTGCCTGATAGATGTTCCGATTCGCTAGCCCTCTGTACATGTACGTCATCTCGGCACTGTGTAGTGATTCATTCTTGCTTGGATACAGGAAGTTGTGGAATGGCGGGGTAGTAGTGACGGGCAGGATGCATGAATTAAATTAAAATTTTAGAGTCTCTACTGGCTCTAAGACTATGAAAGACTGCATAAAGTTGTTTGATTGGCTTCTAATTTCTCTTTGGGACGTGAAAAAGGAGCAACGGGCTGGTATGTGACGGTGGATGATGAGAACAGATTGATGTCCAGGCGCTTGGTGGCACAATCATAATGGTACAGAGGGAGGGTTGAAAAGCGGAACCACACGGGAATGTCGTCATTTGCTCTACTCTGAGCTACTGAGCCCTCTACGCTTCAACACATCGATGAGTTTCGGCCAGGCTCCGGTCATTTGGGTGTAACGAGTCATTTTTGGGATTCTATGGCAGCTCACCTAATCTAGCCCAACCCAACTTTGGTTTGAGCTCCATTAGGAGTAAGATGGGTATTGTTCGTTTATCAGACTAGTAAGCAAACGCACGCGTTAGATGGAAGGGTGTGTGTGTATGTGTTTATTGTCCTATGAGGTCTATAACTATGTTAGGACATATAGGTCCTTCTAGCCTACAGGCCGGGAGTATCTATGCCTCGGATAGTGTACTCCCTCCTATGCCTCCTTCACGACTTCTTTCCAGCAGTAATACCCCCACAGGTCTTCATTCAAGTACACACTAGCAGGAGCCCTTTGCCCTTCATTATCTCTCCTCTCCAGCCAACGAAACGATTGCCATTTTCGGGTGTGCAGCTGCAGGAAAAAGTCTCAAAAATCACTGAGTACGGGGCTCTCATATGACGAAGAGGCCGGCCACCCGGGCACAGCAGACCTGTGTATACCTAAGCATCTCTCAACCTTCCTAACCTCCTCTTTCTTGTTTCCGTTATTCATGCAACAGGACAAACCGAAGGTCGTGAAAAGATTTCAGAAAAGTCTTGGTCGAGAATGACTGCTGTGAAAGAGCCCAGCTATTATGGATATGAGCTAGAGAATGATATTTCCGGATGCATGTGAGAGCGGATGTTGAGCCGTTGATGAGGTCTGGAAGTGACGAGGGAGCTGTTTGTAGTTTATTATATTGCTCTTCTCTAACTGTATCCACACCGTTACAATGTATTCATTGTTGAATATTTATACCAGAGATAAAACTCCGCCCAGTCAGCATATGCTAACATTAACCCAGTCTCTTTCCCAACTACATCTTTTTTCTGCCAAGACGATTACATCACAACACTAGCCCAGCATCCAAAAGTCGGTACAGACGTGGGGTAGTCGAGTAACTCATTTATTTTAGATGCCCTCCTAGCTAGTTTATTCGGAATTAAAGGTTATAAGGGACGACAGTATTTACGAGTCTAAATCTGTCTTTCTTGAAGGTGGAAGGGTCTTTTACTTTGCTTTCGTGGGCTTTTTGTTCGGCCACCATTGGGTAGCACATGTTATAATATAACGAGGGCTTCTCTAACTACCGATTTAGCGTTTGATACCGCATTACCAGCATCATTATTGTCGTCTTAGTCGCCTTATGTGCTATCGGGAGCGTATCTTTGACGGTGGGGGAGATAACTCAACTCAAAATTGAAAAGATGTTACTCAATATCGGCTCTGCAGACTCTACAGAGAGAGCTGGAGGTTCGTAGGGGACACCACTGACAGGTGTTGAGAATAGTCTTTCTAGATCGAAGTGTACGTCTGTGCATTGTGATGATGCTTAGTCTTTCCCTCACCTCTCCATAGCCTTAGGCGCCTTGAATTGATTGATTTAAATTTAAGTCTCTACTGAGTCCTAGAATATGAAAGGCTACTTAAAGATCTACCTAAAAAGCTCTTCTATTAATAGGTTAATTTTTAATTCGAATATTACAATTATATGCCAGTTGATCCTGAGGGTCATGCCCTAATTTAGGCGCCTTGAAACTCCTGCGTATAATCCTAGTATCTAGTGAAAAAAAAATTAATAGTGATTGTTGCTGACCACCAGAACCAGTGGCATAGAGGTTGTATGTGAATTCGGGAGGTAACTATTGCCTTAAACTCAGCACTAATTCATAAGCCATGCGAAACCGAGGAGTCCTTAGCCCAGGGCTTAATACACATCTTCGGAGGGCAAGACTAAACACCTGTCAGTGGTGCTCTCTACGAACCTGGGAGTGAATTATTCTCCCAGAGCTAAGTTCAGTCAAAATTTGCAATATCGATTAAGTTGGCCCACGAGGCAATGATTCAAATAACTCCACCACGTCAAATTTTCATTCCAAAAAAGATCGAATCCTACCTAAGCCTCATCAAGTCTACAAGTTCGACTTAGTACATCCTCATTCCAATGACCATACTTCTTGTCGACTTTCTCTGGCCTCAGCTGGTCACCAAATACATGCCCATGCCAATATTTACACCCGACAGAGGAAACAAAGCGTGGCATACAAATCTGGGAGGCTGTTCTTTGGGATGGACGTGAGAGGATTCATGACAAGTTTACAAGATGATGCGAAGGATGGATACAGTCTCGACGGGCGTGGAATTTTGAATTTTGGCAAGAAGTTTTTACAAATTGAGCTTTGTGCGTGCCAAGGCGTCGGTTGCGAGAGTGCAGGCGACACTGTAAACACCGCCATGGTTGGATGGCGCGGTGGTACATCTTCTTGGCTGGTCTGCCAAGTAGAGTCTGGATAGCTTGGACACATATCCCACTCGAGACAGTAGATTGCTGGTTCAAATCCGGCAAAAGCACAACCACTTTTCTCGCGGCGCTGGCGTACATGGATGACGAAGGCATGCTCGGATAATTAAAGGTTTTGAAACGCCCGTTTGGTGGGTACTAACAGAGGA